TGTTCCTAGAGAGAAAAAATTATTGTGAAAATTTATTTGGCGTTAACATTAAATTTTTCAACATACATGAATTTGTACGAATATTTTTACCGAGCAATGTAACGTATTGGCGAGAATGATGGGATAGAATAGTATACACGACGAAAAATGATGTTCTCTACGATTGTATGCTATCGTTTACGACGATTGTAGTTGGCCATATTTCGTCGTATACGACGCTTTACGGCAGTCGTAATAGAAGTAAAGAAAATTCCTCTCTTCTGTTGAAATTTTACGTACTTGCGATGATAAAAGTATAGATAAAAACTCCCGTAATGGTACAGGAGAACGTTCTAGTGAGTTCATGGAGTAGAATCTGAGAGAATCCACCTGTTCCGACAAAGGATTCTAAATGAATGAAGTTGTTGTTGTTGTTCTCAAAAGAGAAAAAATCTTACATTGGTGGAAGGCGCTTCATCTCTTAAAATGCTATCATCAATACAATGCATGAAAGAGAAAAGAAATAGAATCGTAAGAATAAAAAATTATTATCGATTTGAGAAATAGTTGTCTGCTCTGATATCTTTTACAGTAAGGCATAATAAAATTTTGAAGATATATTTTGAAATCAATTTTTGACTTTTTTTGGAAATCTTAAACATTAGAATATAACGTCAACACTCACGCCCTATCCAGGCACCGAACATCAACATTCAGATTTTGAAAAAACACGAACTTACAGTCATTTGTTTTTTGTTCGGCTACAATTGTCCTAACTCGACCAAGACAGTCTATGTGGATAGGATACAGTAGAGGACCTTTTCTGTTTAACTGGAAAAAGAACTTTGAGAATGAACGTCAATTCATGATATCAACAGGATGATTTATGAATAGTGAAAGTACATGCAAAATTTTCTTGCCTTCAAGTTTTGATGTGCTCAGATTTGAAGATTTGTTTTTTAATCAGAATCAAATAGTGCTCATTTTAATTTGATTTTTTACGTGAGCTCGATCGTTTAATATGATCTTCTCTCTCTCATAGTCTACTCTCATCTTTTTTTAGACAAATATTTAATTATATCTACTTATAAATTATTCATCGAATCATCAAAAATATTCGTGAAACCGATCATGTATGTATATTGCAACACATTCTAGCTCAAATATAGGTCCACAAGAAAGATGCGATCAAAAGCAAATTCGTTAAAAAGAATAATCTAGCATCATAAATAAATGCAGCCTTTTTTGAATTGAGTCAAATTTTTCTAGTTAACCGCCGCTTTGCACCTTCACAATCAATACGAGACTATATGAGTGTGAGTGTGGACAAAGAAAACAGACATACCAACATCCACACCCTACACCCACATCCTTATATCTGATCCAGATTCATTCTTTATAATGAATTGATTCGACGGTATTGAATCAGTGAAAATGGATATTACCAAATAAAACCCATAAAACTATTGAACTAGTATGCAATGGATGCAACCAGGTAAATTCACTAAGCCGCTGATCAACAAACAATGATCAATCGATTGGATGGACAGAAGTCGGTCATAGATATCAATTTCATATTTATCGAAATCCTTTCTAATCAATATTTCGATCATATATTAGCTCTATTTATGACGTTTAAAATACTCTTTCTAGTCTTAAAAATCGTCCTAATAAGTTACTCATCACAATGAAGTAAGTAAAACCAACTATACCGAGTAAATTTCAGTGATGATTGATTCCAACTTCCCTCAGTATTGCGTATGTCAGATGAGTCTGTTTTTTATCGAATGATTCGTTTGTTACTTTTCGAACATGGCAATATTTCATGCTTCATTTCGATCTATTTATGCCTCCTATTTTCTTTTTTCGTTTTTCTTCTTGAATTAATTTCAAGTACACATAATACTGAGAAGGCTGCATATAATAACAGTAAAACATTCAAGGTAAAGAACACAACATGATTTATTACATACAAGAAACAAATTCATATTTATACAAGGAAATTTAGTTCGTAGAGACCATAAATACCTATTTTTATTGGTATGGATATGGAGTGTATATTTTCTTTTCACTCAAACTCACATCCACGGCTACGCTCCACAAGAGCGAATCATCGATGACTATGGATTATGGACATATCTTCTACAGACTCATTTCGACGACAAACAATCAAACACATGAAAGTAATTTTCGTGCAATAATTGAGTGGCTATGATTTGAGCTCAAAAGAAACTAAACTTCACCTTAAAAAGTTATACGTATATTTTCAAGTTGGAAAAAGCTAGGCGAAGTACAGTCACACGAAGAACTTTTATTAATAATCGTAAAAAACGTGAAGAATGAGTAGAATACTTTTTGAAATATGATTATATGATGAATATCTATACGATCTTCAGTGGTAGCATTTATATATATTACTTTGTGAAGTTCTTCGGTTGGTTTGAAGACTGATTCAGAGTTTTACGCGCTACGAGATCAGCATGAAGGTTTCGATAAAGATACGATGTAGGAAACAGGAATGGTGGTAGATAGATTTAATTCCAATATCCAATACCAGTTTGAAATAAGAGAAATTTTATGAAAAAATGGACATGTTTCTTTCAATCAATCTTGGATAACATAAAAAATTACAAAAAGCTAGTGAGAAAGGTACTTCAGAGTGTAAATCGGAAGTGATTTGTGTGGTAGATTGACAGTACGATTGACAGTTTAATTCTGCTTATCCATACATTCACAATATCCTTTACATATGCCTTCTGATGCACAAAACCCAGATGAATAGTAATCCGTCGACTTGGATAATTCCAAGCAACGTTGATTGCATTTTTTATGTGCCAGTGCCGTCGGTTTCATAATTGATTGATTCTGTTTTCCGCGTTCTTTCCAGCATGGTTTCTCGTTACTAAGACAATCCGACCATGTAGACTCACACATATTGATTATCAAGCCAAGAACAAGAATGATAGAGAAGAGACGAGTGATAGTGGATCGATGCATGGTTTATTCAATAACAAGACTGTATGTATTCTAGTAAGAAAGAACTTTAAAGTAAGGTTTTCTTTTACACTATTGAAATAAATAAATTAACTGTAATGAATTACCCTGTCAAAAATAATTTGAGCCACCTACTTGTAAAAATAATGGGTGAGAAAATTTCAAAACTCTCAGAATAATATTAGTTGTCAACAGTGGAATCATACACTTGGGAGTTTGTAGTGAAGCGTAGATTTATATATATGAGATTACTTCCTCTTTTTTTTCGACCATGTCCTTTTTCTTCTTCCTATGATGACGATAACGTGACATAGTTTGCTATGTTCTGTGCTTCCGCAACATTCTCTTCCCATCCAATTACTCAGTAAAAGCACTATATTAAATCTAGATTTGTAGGTGATTCAATACCTAAGACAGCATCAGTTCTCTTCCCACGGCAAGAAGATAAGCGATGCAATGTTTTACTTTATATTACCATGCAGAGAATGAATCGATCGATGAAAACAAATACAAATTTCTATCTACGGACGTAATATAAAAATGCTATATTCTAAACTTACATGGTGTGCTCATTTTTGAAAGCTATGATGAAGTAAGTCTCTGGAATTATTTTATCGACTACGCACCTCAGTAAAAAAAATAAAGAGTTAGAACGATTTTCGAAAAGTTATTAAAAAACTGAGTAAATTCAGTTTGTGGACTTAAATAAACAAATAAGATTGATGGTATCAATTTTTTATTCTATATAGAAAAAAAAAATTTAATATTTTGAATTTCAGCTACTAAATCTATAATTTTATTTGAGATTCATTATATAGGCACATACAAGACGATGTTGTCTGTTAATCGAATCTTGGTATTTGGAAAAATAACAGATTATGGCTTCCTCATAAAAGTCTGCTGTAGTGCAGTCTATCGGATTCAAACTTTTCGGATCCGGACTCAAATCGTACTCTTAATACTCATCATAAAATGTAATAATCCGAATCTAATAGTCGATCCGAAGATATGATATGTTCTTTTTTCGATTATTTGTATTCATCCTGCAGTGCTGCCCAAAAGTCTCGATTTCCTAAAGTTCACCGAAGTTTCAAATTTTGGGCTTGAGATTTTAGCTGCATGTGTGTGGTGAAAAACGCTGATCATAGACACCAATTCGATATATGAGGGCTAGCGACGAATCTAAAATTTTTATGACGAGGAGGGGGCGATATTGATCAGAAAACGGATTTTGAACTTCGTTCGAGGTAGTATCGGTTCATTTTTGGGCCCTTTCTGCTGAAAAAAGTCGAAAAAAAATCTTTGAGAATAGGGACGATCACTCCCTAGCGCTTCCTCCTTTAAATCCGTCACTAATGAGGGCAGAGTTATACATCAAACACTGTCTTTATCTCTGACTGCTCAAATCTCAGCACTATGGATTCCACAAACTTCATCATTCGAAAAACCTGTTTTCTCAGCTTTATCCAACAAAATTTTCATCACAAAAATCTTCAAGATTGCTGAGAAGCGTGTTCACAGAATCTTAGCTGTCATGCTTTTTAGTTTGTCACTATGTAAATCACCTTCAGATTGATCTAGTTTGAAGACAAACAGTAATGTTTCATTATTTATCTGCGGTGGAAGAAAAAAAACTGAAGTTAACATCTATGTTTTCATCATTTAGAAATTATCTTAAAAGGAATAAAGGAACAGAAATATATTCGCTACAGAACTTTGTTTTTTCCTTCTTTAACTTTAAACAAACACAAAAATTACTCTGACGATAGTTCTCTTTTGTTGTCAATAACAGAGAAAAATTAATATCGAAATGAAGAAGTATATTTTAAGCAAGAAAGTGACGCGTTACGATTGAAGACTGAAAATTTTACTTTTTCTTCTTCTTCGCTTAGCTTTGTGTAAATGAGAGAAAATAATTCAAACTTATTCATTCAGCGTATGTTGGTATACAAACAAAAATTTTCGATTAGTTTCTCGTAGAGTCTTATTTTTACATTCTCTATTTTTTTAGTTCAAATCGACAAAAAATGAATTCAGATACCCAAGCTGCAATTTTTACATTATTCATAGTAGCATATAGTATACTATTAATCTGGTTTCCTATGAGTTTATACTTTGGTTATCAAAAGTATATTCAATTTCCAAAGACTCAACAACTGACGCAATGTAAAGTTCATGAGACCGATGTTATGAAATGGATTAATGGAAAATTTCAAGCAATATGGACGGTCAATTTTAATGATAATGAATCCGAAAAACGTTCAAAAATATTTTTAACCAATTATAAAACGTTTACAGATGCAGTTGAAGCTGCAATGAATCAATATAAAGTGAGTAAAAATTTTCATGAAAAAAAAATTTTTTTGAGAAACAGTAAGAAGACGACAATTCTTTGTCTGTCTTTTTTTCAGATTGGTCAAGTTTACGAATGTTATTTCAATATAAAGAAACCCTATGATATACTTTGGACACTTGATGATAAAATCAATCAATGTAGACGAAATTTGATGATTGCATTTATTTTGGGAATTGTAATCTTAATTGTTTGGACAATACCCGTCGGCTATTTTACTCACAAACTATATAAAAACAAGATGATTAATTCAAGAAAAATCTAACTCACTCAAAAAAAATGTGAATAAACTTTAGTCGTATGCAAATCAATTAATATAATATACTTCTAAGAGAAACTCATAAATTAGACTCATGTTCAGTTGTTTATATATACCATATGTCAAGTTTCCTTGAGATCGACGACGTCATGTTTCATTGATTCTACAATATATATGCATCGCATAATTATTTAAATCATATGAGAGGTCTCAATGGGCCGGGTCTCGGCCTGATCTGGCCCAGCCCATGGACCGAAATTTTTTGTATAGAAAACTATGGATGGGCCAGACTAATTCCGATTTTCGGATGGGCGCCCATGGGCCGAGTTTTGAAAAAAAGATGAAATTTTCATAGAATGTAACATATTTTCATTAAATTTTCTCGAACATCGGATGTAATTCTTTCATTAGCTGAAACATTTCTGCAATGAACAGCCAATATATGAAGTAAAATAAGGAAAAGATAAAATCCTTAATATTCAACAAAATGTTCGCGCCTAGCTCTCACCGCTCAACAACAATTACACCATCATAAATTACTTTTTCTTTTTCTAATTCTATTCATACTGAACCTTCTCAATCATCAGTTTTTGTTACCACTTTTTCTTCAACGACTAGTGCTGGTTCATCATCACATTTAAAACGGTATACATCCGAAATGATCGAATTTCTTTTACAACAGCAAACATCAAAATATGCTATTATTAAAAATGAAAAAACAAACACATCTTTATGTTGGAAAGTTTTTAATTATCCAACTAAAAAGTCAAAAAATATTGGTGAATTCGAGAGAATTGAAGGTTTTGCAAGTTGTCAAATGTGTTATCAAAGATCTGTTTATACATCAACTACTGGTACTCGAAATATGCTTACTCATTCATGTGTTAAAAAATTATCCAATACAAAAATAACAACGTTCACGACAAATTCATCATCTTCAAGTCAAATAAAAATTATTAGTATGATGAATAATTATAAACAAACAAAATTAAATGAAAAAGAATTGAATTTTGTTGAAAATCTTGTTTGTTCATGGATATGTTATCATATGAGACCATTTAGACGAATAGTTAACGATAATAAATAACTTCGACTAGTAGAGCGGGTGGATGTGGGGTTGTGGCTGTGAGAAAGATAGTAATACTCACATCCACACCCTCCAACATCCTCACCCCATACCTACACCATCATCCCACATCCACATACACTCCTACACCGACACCACTGCTATGTTAGCCACTTAAAAATGAGATTCATGTTGTGTACCACTATAATTCTCACTAAAGTTTAAGCATTTCAAGGAACATTCTGTTTGGCATGACTTCTGGTTGGACTATTTTACGTGGGAGAGCTGTGGCAATCGAGATTATCCATCGCATATGCTCACTATCTTCAATCGAACTTTCTTGAAATCGATTGCTGCCACTTGAAATACCGCATTTCTATATCCCGTCATATCTTCTCGTTAGTAGTTACTCTGGACTTTCAGCTTGAATTGCATCACTAGTCTAATAATGTTAGAAATTAAACGTACATATGTATTAAATAATATTGGAATGTCCGAGTTTGTTTTGTGTATTCGTAACCAATTTTGCTTCGTATTTATCGTTGACGAAATCACCTGGTTTTTTTTCCCACTCCAACATGTGTACGTGAATCAGCGAAGCATGATATTTTTATCAGGTAGATAGTTTTATTTCATCAGTGTGTTCATCGTCGCATCTGTTTGGTTCTTTCAATATTCTCCTTTTTTTGCTTTTCTTTGCATGTGCTGTCGTTACGATGAAAAAATATACACTAATATTTATATATGCGAGCACATTACAATTAAATATGGAAAGGACATGTTTCAATAAGGCCATTTTTTTGTCCGCGATTTTTATCGCTTTTATCTCTCTGAGATGTATCAAGGAGCCACTAGAAGTGTTTCCTACGACCGACTTTTAGAAAATTTCAAAGTGAGGCTTTTCCCCCTGGGGTCTTCCCAGGATTCGAAAAAAAATTCTTTCCTCAGACAGCTTCAGCAGCACATCATTTATATGCAGTTTTCCGTGCTGATTACGAATATGAAATTTATATTTCGATTAGGTTCAGTTTTACATATGAAAAAAGCTTTTTATCGCTAAATGGCCTATAGAGCTATTGCACCATACATCAATCTATCTATATATGAAAACATTGTTTTTCTCTTTTCAAAATATGCTAAAATGTATGAAAATATTCGTTCCACTCATTTCACGTAGGTTCAGTTATAAAAATAATCACTAAGCAATCACATATGTCGTGCAATTAGAAATATAGCACCGAAAGCCATGATTTCCAATTTAGTGCGGCCTTTCAGTACGACAAAACGATCGACTGTCAAACAGCCATATTTATCACTCGATGCAGGTTTTTATGCTGGTTTCGAACATCAACTCAAAAATGTGACATCAAGGGTGGGTGTGGGTATGGGTGGGGCTGTGTATATGGGTGTCGATGTCGGTGTAAGTTAATGGGAACATGATGCTAACCGACACCCTTTTACCTCCGACCAGGACTTATCAAGTCCTTGCTTTGGTGCAAGTTTCAAACCAAACAATCCGTATCTAGATGGTTTCCACCTAGGTAAGAAATCTTTATTCAGTACTGTGTATGATCCATATAACTTGAAAAATTCATAACTCCTGCAAGAAGCAATTTGTGCCCGAATCAATATAGGATTTATCACTTCTCGCTATGGCCCATATAACTAGTCTACTTTCGGTCAAAAAGCTTTCCAGCACCTGAAAAGATTCCCTTATAAATCATAAAAGTAGTTTTATTTGAGTTGAAATTTATATGATCCTTTGCTAGCCATGATTTGCAACTATTTCTCTGACAAACATCCCAATATATTTATCATGTTTAGCAAAGCTTTATTCAAACATAATTGTCACGAAGAAAACTGATGAGATCCAATTTCCTTTGACGTCAATGAATACTTTCTACATCATGAGAGATGGGAGCAGACGAACAATGTAGATCTAAGCTTTTCTGAAAGGTTGAAAAGACGGAGCGCTCTTGATGGAACATTTGAATCTTTCATGATATCTGTTTTTCAATTCATTTAACCATTGTACATGAAAAATGACAAAACTCATTCGAATACCTCTTTAAAAATTCTACTGTCTATAGTTCAGACTTGAGCAAAGTTTTTTAGAAATTTTGTTTGTCATTCAGAAATGCAAGAAGCATGCTATTTAATCGTAGATGTGTTAGTTTGACGGAAGATTTTATTAGATATTCTGAGAATAGATATGATAGATAATGTTAGAAGCATTTTCAGAACGAAGAAGTTTATTGATTTTCCAGTAGGTAACAGAGCTTCATAGAATGAGGAAAGATGTGTCTTGAACAGTGGTGAGACAAGATGTGACGAACATCTCACACATTGCTCTTGGAAAAATGTCGAAACTTACAGCTTATAAAGAATAGAATGAGTTCAACTAAGTTTTATTTCAGCAAGTATTTGAAAAAAATAGTAACCTAATTGCATGCAACCAATTTGGTTTGATACATTTGTTGGAAGACTTTTTGAACCGTCTTTAAGTATACTATTCATTATATTCGTCATAGTATAGAGTTATTGATAAATGTACTGAAATTTTTCGAAACAGATCAGTTAAGAGTGAACATCCTGTCACAAAAATTTCAACTAGAAATATATTTGTCTCTTTTCTTTTACAACAACGAAACAATCTGATACTCTTTAGAAAAAAAATAAAACATGCGAAGAGGCCTACTAGCTTACAGTAATATTTGATTCCACCTATTCTGATAATATTTGGTAACAAAATGAGTACACACACATTATTCGATAGCGTCCATAAGATCAAAGTATACGATAGCAATATTCAGTCACTTACTCATGAATTTCCTGTCACCATTTTGAACTATTATGTGCCAGAATTGTTCGACACTTAGCATGCTATATACAGATCTGGTCCGATCCAGTTTTACTGATAATTCCACTGCTTGAGACACCTACTCAATCAAATTGCCTCTTATCATTGATCTCAGTGACACAATAAAGACCGTGAATTTGCTAATAAGAAGTGTCACGTAGAAGACTTTCAATGAGTGCTGTGAAACAAATCGATTGCGTTGAGGCAGTCATGCTTCATGGTTCAAAAACCGTACTTTAATAGTGAGTCAGTTATGTGTAACTTGAAGTTTTGCTATGAGTCAAACACTACTGAAAATTAGGAAAACTCGCGGAACAGATCCTGTGAAGATTCAAAACAGAATGTCTTTTGGAAAATGAGAAGCTTTTAGAACAACTGACCCCTGATATCAGATTCCCGTACTGCGACACAAAACAAATTTTTATTTGTCTCGTGGAGCTCTGATGGGTAGTGTACTCATGAAAAGCTAGACTTCTTCGCACTGCTTAAGTCAGAATGCAAGATTAACAGCCTTATGAAAAAGATCGTGACCGACTACAACAACTTCTGCTAAGCAATGCACAAAAAAGAGGTGCGACATATTTTCTCTTGACATATACTATTTATTTATACTAATTAATAATACACTTTCTTTTGAAAAATAAATGATAGTTCAAAAATGTTTGGTTATTGCGTTGGATACTTTGTCACATAAAGATGTGTAATACTTATTTCGAATTTTTCAAGACATTCAAGTCACCCAATGAGACATCCAGCAAGATCAAAATAATTATGATGGAATTATCTCTTGCTCCATCCTCATAAAATCAGTTTTTCTCGACAATCTCTCACGTTCAGGAATGCTTATGTTAACTGATATCTGTATGTGACACAAATAAGGGAGACAAATGAATATTATTTTGTCACATTCTATTGATCAAACAGTGAGCTGATGCAATGGACAAATCAAATAGCGTCGAAACATGATTTTCATGGAGTTGACATAGAGCTATCTCGTGTTTCATAATGCAACACACTCTCTGCTTAACTTGAAATGTCCATAGTATGGTGTGGATGAATGTGGAGTGTAGATGTGTCTGGGTGTGAGGCCGACAGGGTGTGAATGTGAAATTGCCTGTGAGCGAGGATTGACGAAAAATAGAACGCCACCCGCATCCACATCCTACAGCTACATCCACACATCCATAAGTCCACACCCACACCCACACCCTATGATAGTCAAAGCAAATTTTCGTAGCTTCTTAGAGTCAAGCTGCAGGAGTTAAAACCTTCGGAATCTCAGAGTCGGGCTTCGAAGTTATCACGTTTAATTCTACAAAGCTCTAACCCTCATCTTCATCTTCATGCCCACATCCACATTTCAGTACTTTGACGTAATTCAAAGTACTTCGGCGTACTTGGAATTACTTTTACATACTTTGAGCTACTTCTGGATACTTTGAAGTACTTTCGTACTTTGATGTAATTTTCGACTTTAAGCATGTTGATCTCCTTAGTCAACGATACCCGCGTATTTTACGCAATCACAGTTTCATATTCATACTTCCTGAGCCCACCGCACACTTGAAAACGTTGATTACATAGTCTGTTGAAGAAAACAAATACATGAAAATTTATTACGCAGGCTTTATTTCATCGATAAGTTTTAGGAACACAACGGAAGGCCAGAACGTCATAGAATTACAAGTTTAATAAAAATGAAGCTATTTATTTAGTACTCTTTGCTGTCTTGTGCTAGCATAACACGTTCCATACACATCAATGATAAAAAATAAAGATAGTTGACAACTGCTTACCGATTAGAATAATATTCTCGCAACAATCACAGAACAAGATGCCCATTCAAGATCAAGCAACACAAACCAGCCAATATCGCAGATGCCTGGACTTAAGAGTGAAGGGTGCATTTCAATTCATTTCCTCGCTAATTATTCCACTTGTGTTGGGTATTTTCACTATTGTCATCACTTTCCATCAACAAAAAATGATCCGAGAACAACGACTTGAAGATCTCAATGAATCCAGGTATCAACGGCTCGAAGATCTCAATGAACTGAGAGAACAGCGCCAAGTAGAAGAGAAGAAGGCGAATAGCTCAAATGAATTTCAACGTCAGCTAGCAACTGATCGTTATCGAGACGAGTTACTTGTAGCTTATATT